AGGGGTTTAGGGTTTAGGGGATTAAAATGCCCAGACCAAAAACAGATCCACAACCAATTCCAGTTCCACCTACTCCTTGATAATTGGCCTGCCCAATTGCAGGCAGCTACAACATTGGCAAGTGCTGTTCCCCTATAATAGAAGATGTGCCAAGGGCACATCTTGTACCCTTGGCACATCTTCTATTATGGGGGAACAGCACTTGCAGCAGTGGCTCAACTCAGAGATGGAGGCCGGCTGGGGGTTGTTGTCATACAGGACAGGGTGTGAAACCTAATAAATGAGTGCATTCACCTTAAATGCTGGATCCCTGCCTTCTGAAATTTCCAGTCGCCTTGTATGGACACAACTCCAGCTTTCACGTTCTTCCTTGCCCCCATAGATGTTCTCACAGAAACACCATCGTCAAAGAGAATGTTCAAGGAGTTAACAACCTGAGATTCTCAGGTATCTTCAGATTTGAGCTGTTGAGCAGGTTTGGGTCATGCATTTTATAATCTCCAACGATTATATTCATTATAATGGTCTTTGAACCAAGGCACAGGTTGCAGGAATGCTGACAAGGTTTGCTGGCCATCGCCATTTGCCTCAATGCTAGCGTTTCTAGGGATTATGGTGTCAAGTGCGGGGGGGGCTTCGTTTAGGATGCACAAATTAATGTAGTGGAAAAAAATTATAAGGTAGTAGGCCATGAAACTGCAATGTAGACACATAAAGGCCAGCAATATCGAAGAGAGTGCCGGCGCTGTTCCAGCACCCGACCAATAGAAATCACAACCAGCTTATCCTGATGGTGCTCGGTAAACTCGGCATCATCTCCCCATATGTAGAGCGGGACATGGTTCGCAGTGGCATTGTGTGTAGGAGTGCCCACCTTCTGAAGGTGTTCCCAGAATTCTGCATGGGCTGCGTCAGATTCTTCATCCACTGGAAAAACTCCTTGCTCCACTAACCACGGAACCAGCTCATGGGGAAGTAGCACTGGCAGTTGCCTGAAAATTGGCATTATGAGACTTTAAAGTTTTGTAAGTCCAGTGGTTGAAAATGATTTGCTATAATTATGCCCTGAACCCTAAACTGGCTGCAACCAAGCCTCTCAACTACCGACAAGCCCTTAGCATCTTTCATGGGGACTGGAATAGAGCGAATGGGTACCTTAGTCAGGCATGAGGCTCCCTAATCAGTTGATTTTTTAAACTATACCCCTTTGAATGCTGCTGGGATGCGCCATACCTGTTGGCCTTCCGCATCATATCCCTTTGGAAATTGCTGCTCCACTTCTTGGATGTCTGCAAGAGCTCTGCAGCTGGCCCCATCATTTCGACCCCATGGTCACGAAACTCCTGTGCATCGTCAGTATATACGTCTTTAAATGTAAACCCTATAAACCTTATCAAGCCATAAGCCCTAGACCCATGAACTTGTTGAAATGCAAGAATATCAATTCTATACCCGATCCTCCTGGACAGCCTCCAGCATCTCCCGAGCCCCAGCGCATGATGAAGCCTCAGAATCGGACAACTTATAATAATAATAATAATATAATTCTTTGGACAGGCGCAGAGACGACGACGACATGCTCAATCCAATGCATCAAGGCCACTCCTCTGCCAACGGACTTCAGAACATACGAATGTAGCGGGGTTGTTAGGGTCGATGCTCGTGGGCCTCCCGATTCAGGGTTGCAGGTCTGGGTTGGGCTGCATTACAAGAGGCATATGGCTTGTTATGAGGATTAGGGTTTAGGGTTGGGTCTAGTGGATAAGGGTTTCACGACTCTACATGGTCTGTATTCAGGGTTATAGTATAGCTTGGGATGGGGTTCAGGGGTTGCATGAGGTGCCAAATTCTTCCACAATTAAGGGTGCACATGCTCTCATATGGATCATCTTTTGCTGGCACTTCGCAAGCGTAGCAAGCAGATCACTGCTGCAGACATTGCTGCTCCTCCGAGGTTGAGCTCCCAATCTGTGCTAGTGTTGGCACTAGTTTCGGACTATCAATTGCATGGGTTCAGGATTTCATCTCAACCACAGAGAGACTATAGCAGTGCAGCGCTACACGGAATGATGTTGCGATTAAACACCCCCTTGCCATCTCCCAAATGGAGAGCTGCATCAGTAATTGATCATGATACTGGTAGGATGCTACACTAAACATGCTCTTGCCATTTGACAGCTTCAATCCAACACAGCTAGAACTATCCCCAAAACCCATCTGTGCAGAACTTGGCGCATGGGGGACTTCACTTCAAAAAGAACCGGCTCGCTCTAGTGCTTGAGAGTCAGCACCACCAGCCATTCAATGCAGCATAGTGCAGTATAGGCTGATTATGTAAAATTAGGAGCCCCCAGAACCCTAAAGCAACTGAGCTTCAACAAAAATTAACTTTAGAGAGCCAAACGCTTCCGCGTTATTACTTAAGGTAACCCCAAATATGACCAAGGTATTCAATGCATGGGTCCGTAGCTTGCATGAGCTCCAACCTTTATAGGCGGCAGGCCGTGCAAACCCTCTAAAGCTGTGCCAGGCTCAGCGCTTCGCTTTGGTCTTGGGCTCTTTCGGAGGAGCCTGGGAAAGGGAAAGGGCAGGGGGGTTGGGGGGCTAGCTATTTTTCAAGAAAAAAAAGGCAGTATAATTTAGTCACTATGAGACCAGTGGCTATAGCAGCACGGGCAGTCTTGACACCACCATTGCACTTCACGAGGGCGGATTCCACGTCACGCATAACTTCATCATAAGCGGCCCGCTCCAAATCCACAATACTGGCTTCAGGGGCACGTCTGGAGTACCAGGCTTCCAGGGCAACACGGGCTGCCTCCAACTGGTCAGCAAGCCTAGACAGGTTCTCAATGTGGCCATTCTTCAGGCTTTCCGTGATCCTTACTGGGAAATTATATATAATTCATGCTCTATAGCATTGTGTAATTCCAGCAGGCCCCAAGAACCAACAAGAAACATGCAATTTAATCCTGGGCTCAAGTCAGGCTTGGTCCCTGCAACCTCGTTCTTCAACACACGAATCTCCGAAGCCTTCGTGCTCACACTCGTAAGCTTTTTTGAAGCAGCATTTGTCAAGGTAGCTGCATTGGCCTTCTTCTTTTCCTTGCCCTTGCCCCCCTTGCCCTTGCCTGCACCCTCCTCAAGTCTGGCTCCTGGCCCGGGGGTTGCTGGGGTCGGATCCGTTGAGGAGCTGGCACCATACTCGAAAAGATCACGCTTTGCCAGGGACCCAGGTTGCTGGAAGTAGCGCCTCCATCCAAGATCACTAAATAACCGGCTATACCCTATCAACCCTAATAATTAACCCTGAACCCTAAACCCTAAACCCTATCAGCCTTTATCCCTAATTATAACTAAACCCTATCAAGCCTAAACCCATTACAATACCCTCAACCCTGGGTCCTATTCATAAGCCCTGCATACATGTATACACACCAACCGTAAACCCTCAAGGCTGTATCAGCCCAACACCTAATTATAATAACCTATTTATAACCCTAAACACCCTAAACCCTAGACTCAATAAGCGCGAATTTGCAAGCCCATAGCTGGCTGCTTTGGACGCGTGGGAGCACACTAAGTGCAAGCGCTCATTTATGGTGCGGGGCTTCAAAGCGTGCGACGCTTACAAGGCATATTATGCTGCCCGACCTCGCACAGTTCGCGCAGTCACAATGACCCAATGATGCCCAATCCTCCCGGGCTTGAGGGAAACAAGGCATGGGACTCCAAGCATGCAACGTGGGCAACCCCACCCAACATTTCGCAAAAGGGGGCGATTTGTCATGGCAACCCCAGCCACAATGGGGCCGAATGCAGAAGGGTTGGAGGGGTAGTAATTATGGCATGATCGCGCTGCTGCTGCTGCTGCTGCTGCGGATTGCTTCCAGTTATTATGTTCATGACCAGCCTGTTGAGCATTTGAAACCATCAGTCTTAATTGGAATAATGCCTGTGGATGGGATTCTAGGGTTCTGGGTTCAAGATAAAGTTCGATTCTAAAGAGCCACCATATTGTATCCATTAAAGGGGCGTGGGCTGATACAGCTTTCAACACCTGATCTAAATCATGCAAAGGTACATAAGATCCTTGGTGCCATCACCATCCACATTGCCCTCATGCTTGAACTCAAGATTTGTCTTCTCTTCCTCCTCATCCTCGAATTCGGTGGCATCCCAAACCTTGAAGCACTCAAAATCCTTAGCTGGGTTGCAGGTTGCAATTTCTTCCAATTAGCTACTCTGGGGTTAATTCGAGGGTCTATGTAACCACTTATAATTATAGGGGTTCCCATATGTCCCATGTACATAGCTAGATTTGGGTTATGGAGAATTTGAGGTTGTGCTGGGTCATAAAGCAAGTTATTATAAGAGGATTGTCTATTTGTGGGGTTTTGGCTTTGTTGGGTTCGATTTAAAGAATAAAAAATTACACCAACCAAATCAAAGCTCTTCAACTCCAGGGAAGTCAGGGTGTTCGTGATGCCATTCTGGTCCCAACTCATACTTGCGTTCCCTAAGGCTCTTTGCTAAGGCCTTTCCATATTGGGCCACCAAATCCTTAAAGGTGCGCGTCACATGCTTCCCACGCTTCCGTTGGGTTTTGGAAAGCGTATGATTCATCACTAACGTACTGGCACCCCAATTCTCCTTTGCCTGGAGCCAGTCCTCGAACAAGCGACCAACGATCGCCCGGTCTTAGTTATCATGGGTTTAAAGTGCTAAAAATCATCTATACCCTAATAATACCATAAACCTGATTACAAGATCCCTTATAAATCCTTAATCCTGCATCAAGTTGCTATACCGCTTGCCTTTAGCAGCCTCGAGAACCACAGCTGGGCAAGTCGGACCTTGAAGCTAAGTCAGGTTTTATTATTAGGGAGACTTTCAGCTTCCGGGTTTGGAATACATATGAATACCAAACCCCTAAAATCTACTAATGCTTAGCCCTGGGGCTGTCGAACGAGCGGTTGAAACGCATTCTGGCATTATGCGCTAGCCTTTTGTCACGTTCATCTGCCGTTTCCCACTTTCCATCGGGGCGCTGAAACAAATCTCCAGCATCTAACAGCTCCTTTTCTTTCTGAGCCTCCATAGGGATTTGCAATGTAGCTGCTCTGTCAATATTTCTGTTCACCCATATGGACTTGCAGGATTACTCTAGATTTGTGGATAGGCATGGGATTCAAATTGAAAGTGTTAAAGGGTAGGAAAGGATAATTGTTCAACCCACAATGCCCTCTGACTCAAGCCTTAAATATAATGTTCACCCTTTATTATAAGCCCACCTCGAGCTGGGTTGTGTCCTTGCGCTGGAGGCCCTCCTTGACAAGGGCCAGATGCTGTGCTTCCACTTTCTTCATGAGATCCGTGGAGGCACGCTCGGTATCCTGAATCCAAGTTTCATGCACTTAGGGGTGTGATTCAGGGAGTTTGGGGTTTAAGGGTTATAGGCTATATAGCGGGTTTCGAGGGCTCATGGTCAATGGAATTCGAGTGATTGCTGCTGTCAGAAAACTTCAAAATTTCAATGCCCTCACTATAGAAACCCAGACCTGGCCTGAAGATCCTGTGCACCCTGACGCTGAAGGCTTGGCACTGCTGGTGGAGATGTCTGCAGGGAGGCCATCGCAGTTGCATCCTCCCCATTTAAAACCCTTTAAGCCCTCCTAGGCGCCCTGTAATCCCATTTACACTAAACCCAATCATATCTGAATCATTATAATTAAATACCTAATTATACCCTAAACCGGAAGCCCTAATTCCAACCCTAAGCCCTGTAGCATTTGAATCAATAATAATATATATAATCTCTAGGCCCTAAACCCTAAATAACATTTCTTTGGGTTATTAGGGTTTCCAAATTAAATATTGGGAAGGTGTCCTCGGTGGGGCAGGGATCCTGCGAAGTCCCACCCGTCCCGGAGGTGGGGAGATCAGCAGACATGTCCAGGGATAGGAACTGGGCCTCCACTTCCTGCATCATGCTCTCGATATCCAGCTGGGTTGGACTCTCTGCAGTGCTCCTTGCAGCATCTGCATCAATCAGGCTGACCAGCTCAACTGCATGCTTGCATAGCAAATCTTCTGCTGAAGCAGCCTTTGCTTTGGCCGCCTCCAGGAGAGCTGCACTCTTTTGAAAGATTCCTTGCTTCCATTCTGCCATGCGTTTTATGACAGCTGCGCGGTTGGAGTCGTTGTCCTGGGCGCCTCCAAGAATCTTCCTCAGAGTACTCTCAACAGCCTGATCTGCCTGCTGCAGTTTGCTCTGCATAGCAGCGAGCTGGGCTTGAACTTCAGCTTGCGCACCCCGAACACACCCAAAGCTGTCGAAACA